GAAGGCGGGACGCAAGCGCCTTCGCGCAGTTGGCAATGTCATCATTGACCAGTCTGCTTTCCAGAGTTTTCTTGCCAGATGATTTAGTCTTGCGCCTCTACAGGTCTTGGCGTTCTCTCTGTGGCACCCGAGGACAATCGCCGCGGATCAATTGCGCTACTGATGTACGAATATGTAATTTATAAAAGAACACCCGAATTCACCAACAAACCATGCATCCATCTAATGGCCTGTCCTTCGCATGGGGATTATCGGTTGCGATACGGCCTTTCGATAGCAGTTTTGCCTCGGACTCACGCCATCGTAGTTGCTGAGGCACAATCTGAAGCAACCCCGAACTTGACACAGCGAGTCTCAGCCGCTCTGAATGCCTGCAATAGAGTTCTCCAGGACCGGCAAGTCAGAGCCAATGACAACAGGGTCTGTCCAGGATTTACCTAGACCGCCACTGACAGTTGACTGACGCTGTCGGAGCTCAGGGTTGCTATCAGCTTCATCACCTTTGTAAAGCTCGAATGCTCGGTAGTCGCCATTGAAGAACCAGTGCCCCGTCACCCCGAGTCGCAAGAAACCAGAGTGTGAAACCACAAAAACCAGCTTCTCCTTTCGCTCATAGATGCTGTTGATGCATGATCGAGCTCTTCCGAGAATAGCCTCCTTGGTGTAGGAATACTGGGCTCCAGCAGGAGAGGTCTTGTCTGGGTAGACGGGGTCGACAGAAGAGAAGTCAACGCCAGGGAATTCCACACTCAACTCGGCGATTGAGCTTCCTGTATCACACGGCTTTGCCGAGTTTTCTAGTGATGATTAGATATATTACCTGCAAGACCTTACTGAGCAGGCTTTAAATTCAAGTGCGATTACACCTACCTTGCCATCGAGCATCAGCTTGAATTGGCACCCCATTCTTGATCAACCAATCGAGCGAGAGGAGGGCTGTCTGGATAGTCCGCCTCATTGGACTGACAATGATGATGGCATCCGTCTCGTCGGCAAAATTTTGGGAAAGATTCTGACGTAGCTCCTTGCATTGTTCTACACCCAGTGATGAGAGCTCAGGGTCATGGATCGAGTAGTTCTGTGCCTATGTGTTAGTACAAAGTAAGAGGAGCTTATCAAGAGGACTACTCATCATCAACGTTGTGCAGTGCCTGGGCATGACGAATGAGCACGACTGTGGGCGCCATACTAGCCAAATTATGTCAAACAAAGAAGTGCAAGGCACGCGCAACGACTTCCCCGTGTATAGTTGGTCTCGTCAGTTTGCAAGGTCAATTCTACGGTGATACTGGAATTGGAACCGGGTCAGAAGTGGTCCAATATTCCGGTAGCGGACCGGTGCTGCTCCGGAAAATGATAACTTAGGCACCTAAGGTCCTCAGGCTTGTAGAGTATTCAGTGCCCAGGTACGTACTTATCCGTACCCGTTACTCATGGGGACCCCTGTCATGCCCCACTGGGCTGCAGGTCTGCGACCTAGGTAAGGTACGGTAGGCCGGCGCGCCTTGGAGCTCCAGCAATTACCTGCACCGTCACCTGGTTCGATCGTTACACGACTCTCCAATCTTTCACGAGGCTCCTTCGAAGTTGCGCTCTTGACGTTGACGCGCGGCTGTTAGTTTCCTGTGCGGTTTCATTTCGAGCGCCTTTGAAGAGCCTATCGCTGCCTGGCAAAGATGACCGATGTTGATAACCTATTCAAAGTAAGCCTGTCGCTCGGACTGCGCCTGGTTTTCACTTCTCAACTGACGGAAACAGAGCTCCGGCGGCGTTGGCAAAAGGAAGCTTGATGCTGTACGAGACCCAAGTAAGCAACCGCCCTACCAGATAGTGATCTTCCTGTGGTCAGGACTGACACACGACAGATGAAATATACAAGTCGGCCAAATTGAGCGCCAGCGAGTCTATAAGTCGGCATGCCCAAGTGGAAGAAGAATCCGATGATGATGATATCGCCGGACCTACTCCCCCACCCGACGACGACGCGGACGACTACGGGCCCGAAATGCCCCCGGACGAGGATGATGAAGGCCGATTCTTCGGCGGAGGGATCACAAAACAAGAATCCGAAATACTGGACTACGTGGACGGCCGCGGCGAGAACTCGGCCACTTCTGAGAAGATCGACGCTGCTTGGGTCAGAAAATCTGCCCTGAATTTCGAAAAGCGAATCACGAAGAACGCCGAGTTGCGCGCCAAGTTTGCCAACGAACCCCAAAAGTTCATCGAGAGCGAGGCAGATCTCGATGCCGCCATCAAGGATCTCTCCATCTTAGCAGAGCATCCCGACCTGTACCCTCAATTCGTCAAGTTAGGCTGTGTTGATAGTCTTGCCGGGCTACTGACACATGAAAACACCGACATCGCCATTGACGCTGTCGAAATTATCGGTGAGCTCACTGACGAAGACGTTTATGCGTCTGACGACGACTGGGATATGCTGGTGGATGCGCTGTTGAAGGCAGACCTGGTTAGCCTTCTCGTGTCAAACTTCTCTCGCCTGAATGAAGATGATGAGTCCGACCGCAGCGGGGTGTACCATGCACTTGGCGTCCTAGAGAACCTCCTGTCTAAGAAGACGAACGCGGAAACAGTTGGTAGGGACGAGACGTTGATCAAGTGGCTGTTGGAGAGGGCCCAGCGTAAGGAGTCCCCCGTATCCCAGAACAAACAGTACGCTACAGAGCTGTTGGATATCATCGCGCACACATCGACAATAACGCGCCGTCGGCTGGCAGAGCTGGAAGCCGTCGATGTATTGCTGCAACTGGTATCGGCTTATCGCAAACGCGACCCAGAGAAAGGCGGCGAGGAGGAAGAGTACATGGAGAATCTCTTCAACGCATTAGTCTGCATTGTTGATGAGCCGGAAGGCAAATTCAAATTCCTCGAAGCAGAAGGCATCGAACTGTGCCTGATCATGCTCAAGGAAGGTAAGATGAGCAAGCAACCGTCGATGCGACTTCTTGTGCATAGTGTCAGCGGAGATATGAGCGGCGAGGTTTGCCGGAAGATTGTTGAAGCCGGTGGCCTGAAGATTCTCTTCACCTTGTTCAAGAAGACTACACAGCAGCGCATGATTATGGAGAGCTTGTTTGACATCTTCAGATCTCTCTTGCGGTTTCTTCCCGCCAACTCGGCCGAGAGGATCCGGACGCTGGCGAAGTTTGTCGAGAGGGAGTACGAGAAGTTGGACCGACTCTACGACTGCAGGAGGACATACAAGTCGATGCTCGACGTAGCCGACCAGGAAATTCAAAAAGAACGAAGCAGAATGAGCGCGGACGATGCAGAACTCTCCGAAGGAGAATGGTTCCTGAAAAGGATCGACGAAGGCCTTTACAGTGTGTGGGCTATCGATGTCATCCTCGCATGGCTCGCCGCGGAGGATGCCGGTGCCAAGAGGCGGATACAAAAGCTGCTGGGTAAGGATGGTCAAGACCTGGCAGCTGTGAGAGCTACATTGCAGGAGTATCGGGAAGACTTGGATCTGGAAAAGCCCCAACACAAGGACTTGGCGGAGATGCTCACGACATTGATGGACTTTTTACAGTGAAGCAAATGAACTAGGTGTAATTATACAGCTATGAAGTGATGCGGTGTGTTTCTCTGGAAGTCTGGAAACATCTCTCTCCGACCAGTTGCATGACATCGGTTGATTTTTCTTAACAGTGCCATTCTCTACCTGTCTCTACAACCCCTTCACGACAGTCGTCGATTTCGAGCCCGATGCGTTTTCCATTGCACTCCCGTCATGTTGATGTGTCTATAAGCCGCGTGGCGTATTGGTATTGCCTCATGCGGCGCTTGGAGGGACTGGTTTGACCTCAAAAACGGCTTTCAAGAGATCGGCAACGACCTTATCCTGGCTCTTCTTTCCAGCATCCTTGATCTCCTTGATCTTGCCCTCGGCCTCCTTGTTCGCCTCGTCCTCGGCCTGCTTGTTGCCCTGGGTATGCTTCAAATCGTTAGTATACTCACACGCCCTTTGACGAGGCTTGCAAAGTCGTACCTCAGACTCAAACTTCTTGAACTCGTCCTCCTTGGAGTTGCGATAAGCTTCAATCTCCTTCTTGGCCTCGTCGCGGGCTTCCTTCACTCGCTTGGTTCGAACTATAGCATCTCAGGGTGAGCAAGCGGGCATTCAGCGCGTCAGTTGGTTATGTACATACACTCGCGGGCTGGCAGTGACATGTTAGCAGAGGCATTGGGGGTGTGGGAGGGAGGGGTTTGAATCTGACGTACCTTTCTGGACAATCTTGGAAGCCTCCCGCTCGGCCTATGTTCTTGTGATCAGTGGCGTATTCGTGTAGAAGGCCATAGAGAGATGCGCCTACGTCGAGGAGGGTCTGGATACCCGCCGAATTCTGGGCCGACTGTGAGTACATTAGCACGCTGTCCTCCGAAGGAATGACGTCCGCGGCGGCTGTCGCGCTCACCATCGTGTTTGGCTGTTATCGGCTGCAACGTTCAGCTGCAACCAGGATATGTCGAAGGGTAAGTGAATCTGAGGTACGTGTAGGTGATTGGGCGGAGTAGAGATGTCGGATGAAACAGATCGTGATAGTTATGTTGCTGAGGACGACGTTGTCGACGCTGAGTGCAGGTCCGGTAGGTCAGAGGAGCAGGAAGGTACGTAGCTAAGGTTGTACTGCACCGCCACAGCCTGAAGCGCGCCATGTAAAGGTACTCACACGGCGTCGCAGGCATCTGGAAGTTGCCCCACATGAGTTCCTACCTTAGGTAGGTAGGTAGGTACCTGCCTCCATAGCTCTGCCGCGGCCTGTGCTTGTCCACGGTGAGGTGCCTGGCGTCGATCGAAAAGTCTTATCTTATCAGAGGCCGCAACCAACCGACATCACTTTCGCCAGGTTTGCGGACGACGGTCAAATCCCGACATAAGGCCACTTTCTCCTGGGATTTGCAGTGCTCTCACTCGCGCAGGAATTTAATTCTAGATCTGGATATCACGGGAATTCGCAATCGCTACTCTGCGGATCATGTCTCGGGCCTCTAAGCTCACTCTTGCGGCGACTTCGTTGTTTGCCGCCAGTACCATCATCGTCGTACATTTCCAGCAAAAGTTCGAGAAGGAGGTAGGCTGCCCGTCCCGATGATGCCCAAAACACCCCTAGTGTCGTCGAATGTTATGAAGACTAAACGTTCCATGCTGTAGGCTATGCACCAAGGCGTTGTGCGCGACATAGAATTACAGCGCGTCAAGAAAGAGCGACAGCTTGATTTCGACATCCAGCGTGCTCTCGAGGAAGAATACAAGCGAGAGCAAACAGTTCGAGACGCCACAATACCACCCATCGTCGGTGCCGGTGGTGGTGATAATGGCTCCTGATGATGGAACTTGCAGTCAAAGGATTCGTCAAGAATAAAGTCGCCATGCAGCCGTGTAACGAAACATTTCGTCCACACCTAATTGCTGAAGCTACATATGGCAAAGGACCGATGGAAAAGCCAAGCTATTTGGTGGCGGGAATACGGGAGCGCATAGAGAGATACCCGGAGGTTTGGCGCATTCTTGCATACCTACAGGTCCTGCCATCGGCTTTTGTGGGTTCAGGTGTTCCTCGAACGACCGTCGACACCACCTAGTTGCAAAGTGAGTTTGTTTGGTATCACATTATGTACTATATCTCTTTATCTTCCCATTTGCACCAAAAATGCTCAGGGTCCAGGCAGTAATGATATCTTGTTTTTTTTATGTCCCGTTTGTAGTACAAATCGTTAGTACAAAACCATATGAGGGCTGAATTGCCAGTCTGTCGTCCGCCAAGAATTCGGAACGGGGCCCTCCAATGACACCAACCCATCAAGACGCCGAATGCAACCAACCACTGCGCTTCCCAACCTGAGAAGTCTTCTCACGTTCATCAACATGCCACACCACCATAGAAAGCCCTTTGTTTTACCGAATGGACACACCCGATCTGTTGGTGAACATGCGCGCTGCAATGTTCATGGATTGCAGTTCCTGGAAGAGCAGCTTGGCCGCGTAGGGAATATGGATTTGTGCAATCTTGGTCTTATTCTTGCAGGGTCGGCACTCGAATGACTGCTTCGAAAGGTTTCTGTTTCAAGTAAGCATGACATCTTAAGCTTTCGTGAGGGAGCAACTTACGCAATGGGTGTCATCAATCCGCAAATCTCGCATACGTGGACTCGGAAAGCATCGGAAACTTCGAATAATCTTTCCTTAAGGAAAGACGCAGCACCGTGTGCAATCATGCAATCACGCTCCATCTCGCCGAACCGCAGACCACCATCACGAGCACGACCTTCGACTGGCTGTCTAGTCATAATCTGGACTGGACCACGCGCACGAGCGTGAATTTTGTCGTCGACCATGTGACGCAAGCGCTGATAGTAGGTCGGGCCAAAGAAGACTTGAGCACGCAACTTTCTGCCCGTATGGCCCTGGTACATGATCTCAAAGCCTCTTGATTGGTAGCCTTGGTCACGAAGAAGTTGTGAAACCGAGTCGACGGTCACGTCCGTAAATGGTGTGGCGTCGCCCTCCATGCCTTTCAAGGTTGACACCTTGCTTAGCAGACACTCGATCAAATGAGCAATAGTCATACGGGAGGGGATAGCGTGGGGGTTGATGATGATGTCGGGGGTGATGCCCTCAGCGGTGAAGGGCATGTCCTCTTGGCGATAAGTGACACCGATCGTACCCTTCTGACCATGGCGGGACGCAAACTTGTCACCAATCTGAGGAATCTTGGTAGTCCTGACACGGACCTTGACGTAGCGGAGACCATCCTGGTTGGTCGTAATAATGACCGAGTCCACAATGCCGTTCTCTGTACTGCGAAGAGGCGTCGATGCGTCACGCTTGACATGCTGTGTTGTTTTCTGGCCTAACTCCTGATTGTCAGGGTTGATTGGGGACGTCTTGCCGATGATGATGTCCTCTCCAGAAACACGGACACCCGGTGCAACAATACCATCGTCGTCGAGCTTATCGTAGGTACCGTGCTTCAAACGGAGGGTGTCGCTCCTGAACGGCTTCTCAAATTGCTCGACCAAGTTGATACCAACGCGCTTTTCGCAGTCCGTGTAGGACCTGAAGAAGAGACTCCTGAACAGGCCACGGTCGATGCTGCTCTGATTCATAATCACGGAATCTTCCTGGTTGTAGCCCGAGTAGCAAGCAATGGCGACGATGGCATTTTGACCGGCAGGAAGCTCTCGGAACTTCAAGAATTCCATAGAGCGGGTCGTGGCGAGCGGCTTCTGAGGATAGTACAGGATGTTTGCCATCGTGTCCATCCTGCGAGAATAGTTTGTCAGGAAAAAGCCCATGGCTTGCTTTCCCATGGCCGATTGATAGGTATTACGAGGAGACTAGGATATTGTTAGTGCGCCCACATGCAGCTGCTTAGACCTGCAACGTACCTGATTGTGATCAGGGAAGGGAATGATGCTGGCACAGATACCCAGCAGCATACTGGGGTGAATTTCGCAATGCGTGTACATGTGCGTCGTTGGGTTGATCTTTGTCTTCAGTCGCCGGTTTCGGTCGTCCGCGTTATCTTCTTCAATGACTTGTCCCTGTTTCTGCAGTCGGTATATCTCCAAGTCCTCGGGCGTCATACAGATCATGGCCGTCTCTTCTTCTTCCGCGTCGAGATATTCAATGACTCCGCTATGGGCCAACGTTTCCCATGTGATCTTGTCGTTTGGATTATCGGGCGGGTTTTCTTGTTGATCACGCATCTCGTTGACTGTTCCTTTCTGCAAAACCAGGGAGCCCTGAGGGACGATACCTGTCGGACTTTGTTCCACGACGAACACCGGTCTCATCACTCGACCAGCATCCGAAAAAATTTTGAACTCGCGGTCTCGAATGTCACGTACCAGAGAGACCTCGTGGGAAATGACGTTTCGTCGACGAGTTCCCTGGACATCCGGTACGAGAATTCTAGGGTCCTGGTGAACTCCCACCCACACTCCGTTGAGAAAAACCTTGGTGGCGTTGGGGTATCTCAGTGGCTCATACTCTTCAAGCACTTCCATGCCTCGTTGAATCATGTAGTCAATGATGGGCTCGGCGGGTGTGCCGACACTGACATAGCACATGAGCGAAAGATTCTTCACTAGACCACAAGCTTGTCCTTCGGGCGTTTCGGCGGGACAAACCAGACCCCAGTGAGTATTGTGGAGTTGTCGTGGCTTTGCCAGCTTGCCATCACGGCCGATGGGGGTGTTCGTACGACGCAAATGAGAGAGGGTAGATGCGAAAGTGTAGCGATTCAACACCTGAGACACACCGGCCGTTGAGCTTGCAGCCTTCTTCTGGTCTCCCCAGTTACCCGTGGCCAAAGAATACTTCAATCCATTGGACAGAGTTTGGGGTTTGACACCGAGCGTCAGGCTGAACTGTCGGTTGGATTCAACACAACGCTTGAGGTGGCCTGAAAGCTCCTGGTTCATGCGGCGAACGATATTGCGGAACAATTTGGCAAGCAGAGGACCAGCAAGATCGAGACGCTTCTTGCCAAAATGATCGCGGTCGTCAGTGTCGCGTCGTCCAAGAGCGCATTGAAGCAATTTGTGAACCATATAGCCCAAAAAGAAGGCCTTGCGGGTTTCGCTACCCTCGCTTTGGGAGATGTGCGGCAGAGTCTCCTTTTGCAAAATGTCCTTCGCCGTCCTCACACGCTTCTCGCGCGGAATGTTATGGTTACTTCCTCGCTTACCGATGAAGTCGAGAGCAACCTCCCTGTCCTGAATGCAAAAGGCCTCCTCAATGCAGGGTCGCAGCATCTCGAGCATCTGGCTGTCATTTCGATCATAGCAAATATGATTTAGAATATCCTCATCGGACACCACTCCCAGCGCTCGAAAGACAATAGCGATTGGCAGATCGGACTTGACGTAAGGGAGACTGCAGTGAATGGTCTGACCATATCCGCCCTTCGCAGCGTCTCCCTTGCTGTAAAGCTTCAACATCATGCTCGAAATGAGGCGTGAACCCTTCTCAAGTGCACTGCGAATCTCGGCAGTGTACGAATAGGGACTTGGCTGGGCTTTCTTGAAAACTTGGACGATATTTGCCGCAGATCGCTCTTGGGCAATAAGAACCTTCTCACTGCCGTTGATGATGAAATAGCCACCTTGGTCGTACGGACATTCGTTCAGCATGAAGAGATCGTCCTCCTGCTCACTACTCAAGTGACAAATCTTTGACTTCACCATGATGGGCATACGCCCGATGAAGATCATGTCCTTCATATCGTCGGACTTGTTCTTGTCTGCACCGTAGTCCTCTCCACTCTCCTCTTCCTCCCATTCGAGCTTGGTGGGATGCTCACCAGTGTTGGCAAGCTCTTCTTGTTGTTCTTCGTCGAGCTCGTTCAGTGGTATGGGCTTCTCGACCGCAATAGATACCTTCTTCGTAATTTTGACGTACAGAGGGCTGGCATAAGTGAGGTTTCGGTCGCGACATTCGTACGGCAGAAGGGTCGTGACCTTGCCATCAGCTTCGGTGATGGACGGCCGCGAGACCATGACGGTCCCAAACTTGACCTCATATCGGCGAAGGGCAATAACCTTGTCGCTGTCCGACATAGGATTCGGTTGGTCGAGGGTGATTTGTGAATACTCATCGATGAGTTCTTGAACAGTGGAAGATGTAAATTCGTCGAAGGAGTCCACCTGCTGCGAAACCAAACCCTTGGACTCGAAGAATGATGAGATCACCGTCCAACAATCCTCGGGAGTGATGCTTTCATCTTCCTCGACGTAGCCATCGTAGTCGTATTCGTCGTATGCGTCAGCCATGTTGGCGGAGTGTGAAGGTATTTCGGGGAATGATCTTTTGAGATTGCTTTCGTAGGGTAGGGGGCAGGCCGTATGTAGCACTCCGATGCTGAAGTGATTTGGTGACGGATGCGCGACGGTTGGGTGTACGGAGGCGGCAGGAACGTTGGTGGTGAGGCAAAGGACGAGGTCCAACCGGGCGATATTTGAAGAAAGCGACTCGAGACTTGCTTGGTGCCGGGGTTGCGATCGATCCGAAAAGAGGAGCGAAAGGGAGTCGACGGTGATTAAGAATCACGACACAGAGCCCAGGCGAATTTGCCTCCCTCGCACAGCAGGAGCATTCGCAAGCCGGGGGACGAAAGACAAGTCCGAACGTTCGCGAATCAAGTGCTTCAAGGGCGTGTGAGTACGATGGATCGCGACGCAGGCGGGTTGTGGTCGTTGTTATTTCGTTGTTGGTCGAGACAGAGCAAGAGCAGCCTCGCTGGGTGGTGTTTTTTTTTTTCAGTCTCGTCGCAGGCAGAAGACGTTGATGGGTAGCCTCAAAGTCCTCAGAACGCGGTAGGG